CAGCAGGATGTCCACCCATCTACTGAAGAGTTTGCAAGGACGTGGGCAGATCTGAACTGAGGTCTGGATCACATACTCTGGGTCAAACCTGTTCCCCAGAGTATCAGCACCCACAAAGAGCAGCAACAAGACAGTATTTTCATCCTGACGGTACGTGGGAAGCCACAGCCTGACTACAGGAAAGACAGGCTCAGCAGAGCCGCACTGATGCCCACAGCATCTGCCACTGCAGAGCCACGGCACTTCTGAGCAGGAAGCATTGACAGGATTACAAATGCACTGTCCAGAGAAGCCCAAAAGGGGTTGAAAGAGCTGAAGGCTCTGATTCTCAATTTGCACTGAAAACAGGCAGAGTAAAGACTCTACATCACATACAGCAGGGTGCCAGCTTCACTTCCTTGCAAAAATCAACAAAAGGCTTAGCGGATTTTCTTTCCGCTACAAATCTCGCACTAGGCAGACTACCGGATGATAACAGGCAGTACTGGATATGAATATAGTTTGCTTTTGATGTATTCTTCTAAAAAGCTGTGGGATATTTTCTCCTAAAGCAATTATCACTTACCATGTCCATTATCAAATGACCACAAATGAAACACCTGTCAGCTGACTGCTGGAAACCAGAATACTGCAAGGACAAAAAAAAATTGGCTTAAAATTTCACAAGGCTAGTCGAGCATAAACAACAGCATATTATGGGCTGTTACTTGCTTGGACTTTTTCTGTTCTCCTTACACAAGCTAAACTTTCCGGTGCTTTTTTCAGTATATGAAGCTGTGGATGGGTCCGCAGGGGATATTCTATAAAGACATCAGACTTCCACTGTTCAGAAGGAGTACGAGTCCCTGTAACTTTCAAGTCCTAAATTTAAGTTGAATTGAGTATGTAAGTAAATACCATAAATGCACAGGCAAATAAGGCATTTACTAATAAGACTTACATTCTGATTTGACCATGGGAATCTACACGGCAGGAAGTTATTTGTGTTTATCACAAATGCACATCACAACACCTGTATATATAGGCTTGGAAAGCCAAATTCTTACTTTGGTTACAGCATTACAGGTCTACTGGATCTTCTCCAAGGCCAGGGGTACCATCCCAGCTCTCTGGTATTATAACATTCAAGTTTAGCCCAGAGCACCTTTCACTGCTGTTGCTAAGATCTAATGGTAAGGAACTGCCTGTCATGTCCACAACATGCACCTCAGGCGCAACACATCATCTGTCTAAGGTTTCAGTCCTGTCTGAATGGTGGAAATGCAAACCAGAAAAATGAAATATTTTAGATGCATTTAACTAATCCTTCCATTTTCAGCCTGCATAGAATATACTGATGACAGCAAAGAAGATTAACTCATTTCTCTTGTGACAGAAATCACTAGACTTACCCAATAAACAGGCAAATATGACTTTTTCAAGGGGGTATATGGCTTTTTATCTCCACCAGCCAAGGAGAGGACCATGGGACTGCTTCATGCTTGGGTACGTTCACACAAAATCCATTGAAGGCAATGGAAAGATATCCATTAAGACACCCAAGCAAAACCAGTTCATTGGAAAGGGAAATACACTCACTGATTCTTCTGTAGGCATTCATCTTGCTCCTGTCTCCGCAGCATGGCCACAGAGACATGCTTTGTGGAAGCCATTGCAAGAGGCTACGGCTTCAACTACAGGCTCTGTACTGCAAAACCCTGGTCTTTCACTCAGCTACTTCCAGCATCACATGTGGGCGGCCACCATGGCTGGGGCTGGCCCTGGGTAGAGGGGGAGCAGAAGGGCCAGGTGGGATGCTGGACCAGAGCTGTGTGAAACGTGGGCAAAGCTGCCGGGTAGAAATGCTGCGGGTCTGCCAGAGAGGCTGAGATGTGCCAGCACGAGGGTCAGCTGTGTGCTTACCAGGAAATCTTCTTCACAGAACACCTTGCCATTGACAAAATAAAAGGCTTTTCCTCTCAGCTTTCGACCTGAGGAAAAAACAGAGAGAACAGAAAGGTCAGCAGAGAGCGGGGAGAAAATGTGAGCAAAAGTTGACCGCTGAGAAGCAAACAACAACGAGGACATCTGAGCACGGCTGCCACATGGATGGAGAAGAGCACCCAACCCCAGCACGGGTCTTCCCAGCCTCCAATGCAACCAACCCCATTTCCTCTTCCCACTGGCAGTCGCTGGTGAATGCCAAGTGCTGGATCCAGACAACAGTCCCACTTCTGGGCAAAAGGAGGTAGCTTTGCAAGCCTGGACCACTCTCTGGCAGATTACAACATGAAATAACCTGGCAAAAGCGAGTGAGGGTGCTTGGGCTCATGCTGGAAAACACCCCAAGAGATGAACAAGGAGAAGAAAGTACATGCAGAGAGTGATTCATACTTAAAATCATTCCTCAAATTGTCACCTCCCATGCTGTTCCACTAGAAGGTGCCTTCAACCAGATAAGCCACTGCAACACCCAAACACCAGGTCTGCCTCCAGCAGAGTGCAACACCCGAGTGCTGAACACGCTTCTCTCTGCTCCCTACCAGCATATTTGTTATTGCAGCTGCCAACGAAAATCTGAAAGCATTTTGAAATTTTGAAAGCAAACCAGAATGTCCTAACAACAAAGTTTTTCCAAGAAAGGACTCTACACATGCAGAAGATTTATATTTACTGCAGCTTTTGTGTTTATGCCCCGCATTCGCTGCCTGTTTTGAGTTCCACATAACTATGGCAACACACGCTCAGGCTGCTGCCACTTCTTCTAAATGCCCTGCCTCCTCCCTGGAGAAAAGGGCTAGGGTTTGTTTGTTTATAAAACCCTGCTCCTACCTCTTTGCAGCCTGGTTTCCCTATTCAGCCAGGGGTCTGAAATGCAGCCTGGCACTGGAGTGGCTCTGAGTGCCCGGAGGCAGTGCCCGGGGCAGAGGGAGCAGCACTGCCAGGGCACAGCTGGAGCAGGACCTACTGCAGGCTGGTTTTTGGGGACCTTCCAGGCCTTGCTGGAAGGAAATCAGGACTGAGACATCAGGGCCCAGAAGCCTCCTGCTTGATATGCTTGTATAATTAAAAAATGATCATCAGCTGCTAGGTGTATAAACGCAGATGACACTGGACTGGTCTGGAGCTCACCTCTCGGTGCTTTATGGCATGCACCTACCTAGCAGAGTTTGATGATTAATCACGTTGGCTGCAAAGTATTAAGAAAAAGAGGAAGCTAAGTAAAACCACTTCAATAAATTAAGAGTTTTACCATCTCCTGCATACGCCAGAGGGCACTCTCAGGCTGGGAAACAACTCACACTGCTCCTCGGGAAATGGAGACGCTCCAGTGAAGCTCTAAAGTTTTGCCAGTGAAGTCAGCCAGACCAACATTTCACCAGCAGCCCTTAGCGCCCTGCCCAGGTTCCAGCCAGCAAGGCGGGCAGAGGACGTGGCAGCATGTTTCCCAAGGAAGAAGCCCCGGTTTGCTTGCGCAGCAGCATCGTGGTTAAGCTGCGGGTGTTGCTCAGCCGCGTGTTTACCAGCCGGCGTAGGAGCCAGAAGCATGCCGCCTCGCCACGCTCATCGTCCCCTGTTCTCCTCTAATCCCCACCGGGGACAACCGCGTTACCCGGAGGCCAGCCCATCCCTGCATCAACGTGGACATCGGATAGGACATGGAAGAAAACCCCACAAACCTGAAAGCATCCCGCTCGGATTTCTCTCACCCACCCTGACGCTTTGCCAAAGTTGCTGACACCAAAACAGGACCCGGAGCCCAAAATAAAAATTATCTAATCTTGGACACGTTAGCTTTGTGGCCCATAACCCAGGGTGTTTATTTCTATGATAACCCCTTTCTGTGTGCTTGCCTGTCCACAGGTAAGCCCAGCACGCAGAGTCCCAGTTTCTGAGGAGGGGAAGGAGAGGCATGGGGACACCCGGGATTTGCAGCACCCCTGTCAACGGTGGTCCTAAGCAAGTTAACAACAAGCCTAATGCAGCAAGAAGTACCCCTGAAAATTTCCCCCCTGATTTATATCTATAATATAGCATCGGGATTTGGCACTCCTAAAAACAAAAACCAAACAACAAACATTTAACTCTGATTTTAAATTCTGTGGTAGCGCGGGCTCCAGTTTAGTGCAACAGGCAGGTGCCCAAGCAACTTTCCACCTGCGTAAAATGTCTCTGCTTAAAGACAAGCTAGCAGTGGTCAGGAAAAACACACGCATGGAGCCACCCAATGAGGAGACACTTCTTTGGATGATGGCTGGTGCATGAGCAGCAGCCATCACAGCAGAGGGGATGAGGTCTGGATCGCTGCCACCACGTCATTCTTCCACGGTGACAAAACCAGCATTTACTGGCCATTCTGCACCCGGTATATTTTTAACCCTGTGGCATTAGCAGGTTAAGATTGATGGCAACAGACCTTCAGAGAAGGTGCCACAGCCGGTGCGCTGCGTCTGGGCTTCTGCTGCAAGCTCATTCATCAGAGGGACAAACCCCTTTATAAAGGATTTATAATTTGGCTGTTGGTGTTACATGGGCCCATGAAGAAGAGGTGCTGACACCAAGGGCACTTTGAGGGAAAGGGGGGGGATGATTTAATTACTTTCCTTAGGGAAGAAGTGGTCATTTTGACTATTTTTAGCTCCTCTCCACAACTGTCTTTAAGCCCCTGGCAGAAGTGTAAATGAAAATTTGCCAAAAAAGCAAGTAACCAGGTACCCCTGCAGCGCCACGGGAACGGTGTGTGCGAATAGAGCCATTTTCTTCCCCTTCTGCTCTCAGCCTCTCCCTGCCCACATCAGGACAGACTTCTCCTCCCACCACCCCTTTGAGGTGAGGAAGCATCTCCTCATCCTACGCATGGGAAAGCGAGATGCAGGAAAAGCTCACTTCCCCAGGCTGTGCTGGGGACTGTCCCGGTGGAACTGGGAAATGCACGTTCTGGCTGCAGCCACACCAGTAAAACAAACCATGCTGGGACAGCCCCACGGCACAGAGCAGGGCAGCACAGGTTTTGCTTGAACACAGAGATACTGCTGTAATTTCACCGAGAGGAAGAGCTGAGAACTTAAATGGCATATAAGGAATCACATATTGATCACGGACCATTTTAAATACAGATCACTTTAAATATGCGTCATGATGACTACAGAGACCATATCCTTTGATACACCCAGGAATATTAATGTGTGGTTTGCCACTTTCAGGATCAATTGCTCTACTACATGCCTTAAGCTGCTGGCTCCTGACTGTATTTCACTTTCACTTCACCCTGAATTTAGCTAATCTCTCACCTGAAATAATTCAGACAATTAAAATTCTTTGACATTTCAACTCTACTATCTTGTTACAAGATTTCTTCTTCCTCTTTCTGACAGGAGGTTTGAGCCTCATGTTTTTATGTACTGCTCATCCCCAACACGTCTGCCTAATCTGTTTAGCTGTGGGACCTTCAGGGTGACCTTGAGGTCATTTAAGCACCAATTTCAGAATACTTCAAGCTTAGCCACTAGTGCCTTTGTGCTAAAATAAACACACTTTGCTTAGCAGCTGATAGTAGGCATACCACCAGGCTGCACTCCCAGGATGCTGGTGCTTTTGTCCATCATTTTCTCAAACAACAGGTATCTCCTTTTGAAGTTCATACAGAGAAGGGTTTACCAGAGACTTGCAGTGGCCCAAGGAGGATGCTGGGAGATGCATCATTTGCTTGCTGGGGAGCTGGACCCAACTTTCTTTTTTGAAGTTGCTTTTCCGTTATTTATTAAAAGCACAACGAGGTCACAAACCCATGTTCAAAGACAAGAGGTGGCTCTCGATGCATGTAACAGTACAGGGCCACGTCCAGATCCCAAGGCTCTATGGAGATGCATGACCAGGACCTTGCACTGCTGGGGAGGCAGTGTGGACCTCACTCATCACTTATCTAAGCACCACGGAGCTCCCTGTGGTATCTGCACAGCAGATGGGCGAGAATCACTGCAGACTGGCAGCTGCTCCCAGGTCCCTTCCACACTGACCACCCTGGGCCTCTGTCCTTACAAAAATCAGTCCTTCCTAGAGTGTCACAGCTGTAAGATAAATTTGGACATGCGATTACTAGTGGCAGGTTAAGTACAAAAGGATTTCAGTTTCTGGATTCACTGGATGTGACCTCCTGACATACTAGTGGGACAGCAGGCTGGAAACACTGTCTGTCTAGCTGCTAAGGATCCCAACAAGCTCTTCCTCGGTCCTGGGTGGCTCTGGCCCAAGCTGCAGTCCTTCCCCCAGTTTTCATTTCCCCCACGTAGAAGTATGAGGGAGTTCAGATCAAAGAACCTGCTCTGGTCCATTGAACATCCCGCAGGCAGGACAAGGGGCGCAGGCAGAGCCCAGAGGTCGCAGTTCCTCCATACCATACAGAAGTCCTCGCTGCCCACAGTTGAGCAGCACACGAGACCGACCCACCGGTGCCCGGCCAGCACACGTGTTTATGGAGCTCTCTGTGGATACCAACCCTGCTGACAGGCAGTACAGTGTACTACCACGCGCAGCAGACTAGGCTGAGCATCAGAGAGCTCTAGTTAATTTTTGCCATCATCACTGAGCCTGACACACAAGCGTCAATATTTCCAACCTGCTCCCAAACCGGGGCTGCACTGAAGGGTCACTTAGGTGCCTGCACATCGTCCAAAACAGGGGAACTCGAGGCTGTAATCAACCGCTGGACACCCCAGATCAAAGCATTAGTGAAACCGTGGGCAGGGGGATAGGATGTCTCTTAGAAAAAGACATGGCAGCTCCATTACCATCAAGGTGTTCAGTCTCTCTCTCAACTATACCAGCTGTACTGTAAAATTGTAAAAAAAAAAAAAAAAAAGCCCTCTGTGCTCTCACCACACATTTGAGGCGGTAAAATAATAAAAAAAAATAATCTGAGAAAATGATCTGATGCCTGAAAGCCAAAAGCATGCTCTGATACATGTAAGAAAAGGTCAGCCGCCTCTAATGG